TACATCTGCCATACTTACGATAACGTCATTATTCGTATTACGTACATTTATGAAACAATATGGTACCATCAAAATAGACTTTTTTTTAATAAAAACTCGTTACATTGCAATGAAAATCAGATTTATTAACGATAATAAGATAATATTGTTTCTTTTTACTCTCATTTAATACAGATTATAAATTTTAATTATATTTCAGTCCACCTAAAACTGTTATGATCAGCGGATTTCCTGCAAAAGGAAATGCAGACTTTCCTCCAGAAGCTGTTCAAGTCTTCCATGAAAAGCCTATACCAACTCATGATGCACGTCCTGCTCACTGTTCGCGCCCCATCATTATTCAACAACCCAGGAAGTGAACAACACGTGTATTATTGATCAGGAGGGCAGTAACTGAAAACAGTGGCCCATATACAATTAAATGAAAAAAAAGAACAAAAAAAGATGAAGAAAGAAGAATAAATACACATGTGTGTATGTAGTTAAAACATTTCTTTGGGATACAATGATCAGCTGTATGTACACAATTTTCTAACGCAAACATATGATCTGTTTCCCAAGAAGCTGTGGTTTTATGTAACGCGAAACAAAATACCTCGCGAGAGTTTATTACTGTTATCAAGAGAGAAAAGAATTTATTTTTTATTGCAGAGTCGCGCAATTCCAGTATCTGCATTTAGACGAATGATTAACTCCGTTTTATCGGATGATTATCATTCTCGAAGATACCATTATTAAAATATTATACTGATAGCACGCCGTTATCTCTATTTTTTGTAATTCGTGCACTTTATTAGACGCGTTATATTGTAGAATATATGTAACCGCCTTCGGGACCAGAATGCATTTCAATATGTAGTGCTCGAGGAACTATTAATATTTCATATATATTTTGTTTTTAAGTTTACGTGTCCCTGCACCGTAGTCAACCGTAGAAACTGTAGAAATATTGTTAACCTATGTAAAATCCGCGATTTGATTGATCCAAGAACACACTGCAATATTTTGTGAACATAATTGTCAAGCATGTAAATGTCGAACGAGTATCGTCACGTTGGCCACAGTTTATACGAAACTTAAAAGAAAGAAATATACGTTCTTGTACGTAAATGTTAGTATGTTTTAATTACTTCATTCCTCATTTTTATACCAGCATAAATCCTAAATATGAAGCTTCTCTATAGTACAATATCCAACATCTAGTTTCAGGATGTACTTATGCATTATTCTCATATAAAATTGTAAAATAGAAAACTGGAAAAGTACATCCTGTCCAAAGAACCAACTTTCCAGACACGTAACATTGTCTATAAGGGTTCATGGATTCTGACCGCGGTTAGACCGTCACGCGATGTCGTTGGTAACCGTGAGTAGCATTGAACATAGTCGTCATGGCGACTAATATGAATTCTATAAACATAGCCGCATTGATGTGTCAAAGGCTGAATGAAAAGTCTGTCCGAGTGGAGCTTCCTTCCTGATGTGTAAAGATGTGAATGTGTTACGGGTCGTGAACGTCATTTCCGTCTGAAAATTTTCGTACGTCCATAATCTTTGAAGTGTCCAAGACCTTCTGGTTAGCAAAGCTCGACCCTGTTCAAGGTCTCGTCACGATGTCGGGGAAAAATACCACCGAAAAGATTCCGGAAATCGACGCACACGTCAGCAAACATTATGACATAATTCGACGTCTCGGCAAGGGGGTAATTATTCCCTTTCATTATTTTTTTTCTTTTCGTCGTTACTTATAATTCTATTATTTTTTTAACTAACTCCACAATTAAACATTTCTCGTAAGTCCTCGTAATTCCTTATGTTGTCCCTATAAATGTCATTTCATCGTGATTATTGAACAATCAGGATTTATAAAAATATGAAACAACAATATATGTACAAGTGTGTATATATACCATTTTTATGTTTATATTTTAATACACAGTGTTTCTAACATCTACAAGTCCTTATAATTTTCTATTAAACCTACGCATTTTTAGAGATGAATCTTTTACTTCATTTAAATTTTATTTATTTTTATCTTTTCATATTTTATTTAAATTTTATTTTTCGCAAAGTCCATTATGTACATACAATTATAATTACGTATTCATACACATAAATTAGTACATTTTACATTGGAATAATCGTGCGTGAATAGAGCAACATGAAAAATGCTTTCAAACGAATCACGATCTTCTGCAAGCGTTGGTTGATACGATAAAACATCTATTCTAGAAAATTGCAGAAGTATATAGACACGATTATCAATAACAGTTGTCGTGGTACCTACATCGCGGAAAAGTGTAACTAGAACCAATCGATACTTGAGCAGTTAAATCGTGACAACGAATACCGGAAGCAACAACTGTAATTGCCGTCGCCCGGTTTCGCGTAACGACGGTACCGTGCGGAACATAAATTTCGATTTATCGAGTCATTGACACACCACTTGCTCGACAGGCCTATGGTATAGTTTGGAAGGCGATTGACAGAAAAACGAAGGAGACGGTCGCGGTGAAGAAGATCTTCGACGCTTTCCAGAACCAGACGGACGCGCAGCGCACGTTCCGCGAGATAATGTTCCTACTGTCGTTCGCCAATCACGAGAACATCATACGACTGATCGGTCTGCACAAGGCGGACAACGACCGGGATATATATCTCGTGTTCGAGTTTATGGGTGAGTTTTACCCGGTTCAAAGGAGAGTTCACGAAGGTCACGTGCCGCGGCGATTCTCAGACATTTGGCCTGAAACACGTTTCGGCCCGTTTCCCCAGAAATCGATCTCCACAACGTCATCAAAAAGGGCAATCTCCTCAAGGACATCCACAAGGTCTTCATCATGTATCAGCTATTTAGGGCGATCAAGTACATACATTCGGGGAACGTGATACATAGGGATCTCAAGGTAAACTCAAGTCTCCTTCTTCTTCTTTTCCCAGCTAAGAATTACAACTTCTTGGTGACGATCTTGTTTTATCATGAATCCTTCAGCCGTCGAACGTTCTACTGAACTCGCAGTGTCACTGTAAAATCGCCGACTTTGGTTTAGCGCGATCGGTCACTCAGATCGGCGAAGGTGACGGCGAAAATGGCAGCGATCCAATCCTTACGGATTACGTCGCGACCCGCTGGTACCGAGCGCCGGAAATACTTGTCGCGTCTAAAAGGTATTCCTGTCGTTTTTCGAATATGGTTGGATTTCAAACAGAGTTTGATAATAGTCTGGCCACTGGCGACGTTTAGGTACACCAAGGGTATCGACATGTGGTCCTTAGGATGTATTCTTGGTGAAATGCTCCTGGGGAAGCCGCTGTTCCCTGGTTCATCGACAATCAACCAGGTTGAAAGAATAATGGCCACTCTCCCAACGCCCAGCAAGGAAGGTAATTCCCCGCAGTGATACGTCCGAGGACACAAAAGGAAGACATCAATCGTTCGATCCTCCTCGGCGACTTTTTTCTTCCAGATTTGATGTCAGTCTGCGTCGGTTACGGCACGAATTTGCTAGAGAAAACACCGAGCGGGCCGAGGCGATCATTGAGGGATCTATTGCCCGACGTGTCTGGAAAGGCATTGAACCTTATCAGCAATCTAATAGTGTTCAACCCCAATCGCAGATTAACCGCTGTGGAGGCTTTGGAACACCCCTACGTAGCTGAGTGCGTGTACCTTTTATATTGTTAGTCCAGTTAACCCTGTCCTTATCCATATATTTGAAATATTAATTCTAAAAAGTGGAAGATAAGTAACAATTTTTTAATAACATTCTTAAATTCGATAGCATTTTGAACAAGATAAAAACGACTAACGCAAAAAACGCCAAACAAACGAAATGGTGCTAAAAATAGCAGGGTTAGGCTGCGTGCAGAAAATTCTAAAAATTATTTCCCTAAAAATATGGCGGAATCTCCTAATTCTGCTGCTGGTTGCGTTCAATAAACTTTCTAAAATTAGCGGGTTGACCAGATAAAGTAGAACTTCTTACATTAGTGTATAAAGAACATCGATGAGAGTCGTTAAGAAAATTTTAAATAAAATAATATACATCGTTCGTGTTTCCGATGACATATCGTTTGGTTTATAGTTTTCATAGACGGAACAACGAACCGGAACGAGGATCGAGCGTGGTGTTGCTGCTCAGAGACGATGTACAACTCTCCGTTGATGAGTACAGAAATAAGCTTTACTCGATGATGGACGAGAAGCATCGTAAGCATAAAAACATGTGAGTAAATTTGCTGACCGAACCAATAGTTAACTCCACCCGAAATGGAAAGAGGAATATATCGTCGACAGGTCCAAGTCCAGAATCAGACGACTTTCAGAACACATCAGGAAGGAAACTACTGCTAATCGTTCTAGTCCTGTCATCGGTCAAGGTGACGGGACTGTTGGCAAGAATCATGCGCATTCGTACCAAGATTTACGCAAGGATAAAAATAAAAACGACGTCTACGAGCCTTCCTGTTGCGAAGGTAAAGCTGGCATTGATTTGTTTAAAAAATCGATCGATTAAATAGTTAAAAGTTCTTTCTCTCCTTGCAGCACGTGATCAGCTAGCGAGCAGGAAAACTACACGACAGCAACAAATTGATAGCGGTGAGAGAATTACGAAGACAAGAACTATAAGCACCTCAATGGAACCTCAAACGCAAAACTCGACCGTCAAGAATCTACGGCCGACTGGTAATTATCTTAACATTGCCGGATATTTATGCAATTACTGTATACGCTGACAACATTCTTAACATCTGGCAGCCAAAAGCGTGGCCACGCAGTACACGTATAATTTAATGAACGGAAACGTAAACAACTTCACACCCAGCGGAACTAAGAGTTGCCTGTACATTAACCAACAACACCGGCAGTTATCCAAATCCCAGCGATCTATACAGTCCGACCAAGTGCCGATGGTAAGGTCGCTAATCGAATAATCTCTCTTTGTTTCTCCGATCTGCACGGTACTTAAAAATTCGTCGTGCTCTTCGCATAGGAGTAACACGGACGATTCTATCATTACAGGCTACTTGTCACGTGGGAATCCTTTAGGTACTGTAACCATTCGTACGACCAAACAGTTCACGCTTCTCGCACTCAGAGCATCGTGCTTTCTTCTCTTCTATATTTATCCACTTCGGTATTGCGATTTTCTTTCTTCAACCACCAACAGAGGAAACTTACGATTTCAGTGGTCCCCTGATGGAACATCGGGTCAGATAGCGCAGGCAGGTCGGACGAAGACACGAAAGAACTGCAAGCAGGACTGCGCACCTGCTCGGTTCACGTCGGACACGAACTGGCGCGAGAAGGATCGTCAGAAGATCGCGTCTACGCACGACAGTCCCCAAAGTCTACAGGCGAAGTATTTTGCGAAGACTCCGGACAGTACTGTCAGTTACTATCTCAGATCTAGCAGCAACAACAACGCCAAAAACACCACCGGCTGCAAAGCGAACAGCGCTGAATCGGTGTACGCCTCGCGTCCATCAACTACGAAGAATCAGGCTATCCGGAATTATTTGAATCAAACGATGCCGGCGCGAATCGAGGAACAAAAGCCACTTCCTTGCCGGACGAAAAGCGGCCGTTCCCTGCCCGATCATCGCATGATCCTGCGGAACAATGTTGACAAATCACAGCCGGCAGACTGTCTCACTAACGGCGCTCATCGATCAAAGACCTCCGCTCCAAATCGCAGCTGCGCCATAAGGGCGCAGTCGAAACACTCCGATGAGACAAAATGGACCTCGCCGATGAACAACTCGCGTTTTCTTGACAGTTATAGTCAGAGTCACGGTGTTATAACGGCGTCTGCGTACAAAGATCTGCGAAACGGGAATATAAGATGGTAAAAAAATATCGACGGGTCGAACTTTCAGGGAAAATGAACGGCGACTTCCTGTCAGAATTTATGCGCTTACAAGAGGGCCCCGATAAAATATTTTTATACTATTCTTTTCGTCGAGTAGATCTTTTTACATCTTCGTAGACACTTAAATTCCCGGGAATGTTCGATGTCAGTATTATAAATAAGTAAGAATCGTCGTTTTTTCTTGTATCAGCAACAGTCGAAAGATGTATTATCAAGCATCGTCGTGTTCTTTAGGTGGTCGATGCGAAAATGCAATCGCGGGCTGACGGTGGCCGTTCCTTTTCTCGAAAGCTGCGAGCTGTGTCGCGCAGTTACTAGTCGAAAGTTCCTAAATAAAATTTACAAGAAGCCAGCATGTCGAACAATCGATACTCCGAGTTTCCACGGGAGGGACCCTTGTTCCGCGCGGAAGCATCGTCGACGCAAACAATGGCAAACAATAAAACTGATCCCGCGGCGAACGGTACTTTAAGCGCTTAGGTAAGCAGAATCTTGCGAGCTGCGATCTTTTTATAACCGTACGATATAAGGATCGAAGAACCGGAGGTATGAAATAATCAATAAAGATCGAATCTCACCTATTTCGTTAAACTGACTATCTGCATCTTCATTGTCCCTGGAACACTGCATAGTAAAACTCGATCGGGGGTCCGATAATCACCGCGTTGAAATTCGACGGAGACTCGAAGACACAACCGAGAGCAAAGTAAATAACCACGAAACTCGGAGCTAAATAAGAAAAAGCCTAAAAGGTTCGGAAGTGTATCAATTTCGATGTTTCTCGACCATGAGAGGCGAAAAATTAACCCTGCTTCGTTGTTACTCGTCGACATTGTTGTTGCCCGTGTAGCGTGTAAATTTCTTTGTAATATATCTTTTTGTGATACTTTTACGCGAGCATGTGGTAATGTCTAATTCCAATGTATTACCTGTCGTGGAATAAATTTGTACTAAAGCAACAGCGGCCTCTCTTCGACCCGATCAAAAGCGTCATAAAGAGATTGCCTTCTATCGGCCCGGCGTGCCTTTCGCACCGAAGGAACGAGACCGCCGCGTTTTCCATTTTCCATCCAGTGACGCAATCCGCCTCGTTGCTTGGCGATGCCGTGCAGACCTCTAGTTCCGTGCATCGAAAGGAT